GCATGATGTCCTTCTCCAGAGACTGGTCTCTCTGGATAACACATCCAAAATATGTAAAATGAAATCCCGCCAGCCTCGCTTATAAGAAGCGCTCTGGTCTACTTCTTCTAAAACAAATTTTGTTTGTTCTTCTGTCAGCCTGCGACACTTTCAATAACATTCTTCCCTAGTGTCACATTCACACGCTGCCATTGAGTCGATGCCAACTCGTGGCAGCCCGACAGGACAGGGCAGAACAAACCGCCCTGTGGGTCTCTGAGACTGTGGCTCTCTACAGGAATAGAGCGTCTCAAGCCTCAACTTTCTCCCGAATAACATCTGTGATGGAGTGAAATTGCTTGGTCTGGCTCTTGCATCCACAGCCTTCGTAACTCCTGCCCAGCCATAGGGTGATAGCATGGAAACAAGGTACTGAGGGCTCGAACTGTTGGGATTGACTGGTCAGTGAGTTGTCTCAAACAACACTATTCTTTTTCACTGAGGTTCTAATGTTGGTTTCAATGGCTACACAGAATTCACAAGCAATATTTATGATTACAGAGTTTATTGAGGAAGTCAACAGGCTGTAAATGCAAGTGAGAAATGTTCAGGATACCACAGTTTTTTTAGGGCTCCTTAAGAAGTTCTTTCAGGGGTGCTAATAAAAGCCCAAAGGGCATTCCAATCTTCTGTCAGCCTCAACCCAAAGATATTCCTCTAGGTAAAAGAGAATGTCAAATGCAGGAAGAGAAATTCCCACCATGTCAAAAAAGAAGAGCCACCAGCTGAGCAGTGCAAGATGCATGTGAGATCCCTGTCTGGAGTGGCGGAGGCAGCAGAAGTGCCACGCTGCTGAGTCCACAGTGGTTAGAGAAAGCAGCAGGGGGCTTTCTGGTCCACTGAGGCAGAGGCCATGTGGTAATTACATAGTCTGGTGTCAATTTGGGACTTGAGAGGATTAAGAGTGAAGGGGTGGAGTCTCGTCTGTCAATCGGGTCATAGCCAATGAGGCCTCTGTGTGGGCATGGACTTCCCCTGAGAATTCTGGGAATTCCTGGATTTTTCTCCTTAGAAGCAGGAGACAGACTCTCTCTCTCTCTCTTTCTTTCTCAAACTCTCTCTCTCTTCTCACTCCCTTGGAGACTCTCCACTGAATGACCACACTCACTCCGAGACTCTTCTACAGACAAGACACATGGATCTATGCTGATGGAAGCGAAAGCCCTGGGCCTGGAGGAGTCACATGGAGACTCACGCCAGTGCTGAGGTGCTTCCACTGTCACTGGATCCACAAGACTGGCCTGATTGTCCTACACTCAGCATCATTGCATGTGTTTTGTGAGTCTGAAGAGGACTTTATAGATTGGTATGGGACATATGGGCTAATAATATCAGACTTATGGGCTTCAACTGGACTGGGTTGGAATGCTTTCTTAATGTACAATTACTCTATTTTTAAAAAATCATTTGATTAGGAGCTCATACAACTCATCACAATCCATACATACCTCAATTGTGTAAAGCACATTTGTACATTCATTGCCCTCATCATTCTCAAAACATTTGCTCTCCACTTAAGCCCCTGGCATCAGCTCCTCATTTTTCCCCTTCCTTTCCTACTACCCCCTCCCTCATGAACCCTTGATAATTTATAAACTATTATTTTGTCATATCTTACACTGTCCGACATCTCTCTTCATCCACTTTTCTGCTGTTCATCCCCCAGGGAGGAGGTTATAGGTAGATACCCGTAATCAGTTCCCCCTTTCTACCCTACCTTCCCTCCAACCTTCCCGGTATGGCCACTCTCACCACTGGTCCTGAAGGGATCATCCACCCTGGATTCCCCATGCTTCCAGTTCCTATCTGTACCAGTTGTAGAATTACCCTTTATATAAAACTCATACACATATGAGTGTCTCCCTGGATTTGTTTCTCTAGTCCACCCGGACTAACATAGGTTAAGAGACTACAAAGTTGAGATGCTGAGGACCAGAGAGACATGGTCGATGACTGAGAAGAGGTGCTGCGGTGAACCAATGACTATGTTCTTCATGTTTTCTGATCCTGGCTTGTATTAACTTCCTAATTAACCCCCATACTCATGGGTATCGTCCATGAGTTCCGTACAGCAATTGCCACTGTAGTGAGAGGAACGGTTGGTGTCAGAATAGGGTCACAGCAGTATGGAGGCATGACCGACCTCTATCTTGTGGCGATCTGCCGTGGCCTGGTGTGGAGTCAGATTCTCCTTTCCCCCACTGAGCAAAAGGAAGTTAGAGATGGCCCCCATGCCATTTCCTCAGAGACCCCAGATAGTTTCCCAGGCTGTAAACCTTTCTGGGAACAGATAGCTCATCTTTCTCCCAAAGAAAGATGGGCTTGAACTTCTTCCGTGAGTTGCCAAACTTGTTTAACCTACTGCCCCCTTGCAGAAAAAAAAAAATCCCAGCAGCCCCCTGGCAATTAAAAACTACTGTACTAGAGGATAAAGTGGAAACTTACACACTACCATCAAGTCAATGCTGACCCATAATGACCCCTGTAGGTTCCCAAGACTATAACTGTTATGTGAATAGAAAGCCCAGCCTTTCTCCCAAGGAGCTGCTGGTGGTTTAGAACTGCCAACCATACTGGTCACAGACCAGCGCTTGACCATTACACCACCAGGGCTCCAAAGAGATAAAGTGTAAGAATCTGCTTTTACAGCCCCCTGGATCATTCCAGCATCCCCTAGGGGGCAAATCACCAATTTGGGGAAATTCTGGTTACACCATGGTTAGCAATTGTGGTGCCCCAGAGCACCACAAGGCTTCCTTTTCTACAGGTAAATCAAAACACCAAACTCACTGCCATCCAGTCGATACCAATCCAGAGAGTCCCTATAGGACAGGGTAGATTGCCCCATGAGTTTCCAAGACTGTAACTCTTTATGGGAGTAGGCCGTCTTTCTCCTGTTCTACAGGTATAGCAGTTAGGATTAATGACACATATTTTGGGGAGACATAATTCAATCAGTAACACCCTCCCAGGAAGAAGATAATGTGATACCTCATCTGCTCAGTAATGATAGGTCAGTGCTTTCTTCAAACCTATTTTTCTATAAGCAAGGTAAGGAATATTATCTTCTAACCCAGAACTCATAAACCTATATATATATACTGAAGCAAAATTGTCATACAACATAGTTACTTTTATTAAGCGTCAAACTCTATTTTCTATCCTATTTAAGAAACAATACTGGTCTCAATTTTAAAAATCACTGGTTTATGTGCAAATTTTCTTCCCACAGCAAATGATACTGATTTCATGTAAGGAAATGTGTCCTTGAAAATTGTTCACCACATAACATTCATGCTGCCAACTTTTGTGCATATTGGTTCTTCCCTTTTTTAAAAAATTGGGAGTTAATACATGATTCCATAGTTCAATCACATCACGCAGGATTGTACAATTGCTACCACAATCAGTTCCTACCTTCGAGTCAGTTTTCTTCCCCAGCCAACAGCCTCCCTAACCCTTCAAGAGAATAAACTGCTTCTTTCTGAGCTCTCTCCACACACAACTACCTCTACTGCAGCACTTAATGCATTCTGCATAGTACTTCATTAGGGGGCAGCGGTGGTTCTCTGGAAGAGTTCTAGAAGTCCAGGAAGAGACCTGGATTCAATTCCCAATGCACCTCATGCAGTCACCTCCTGTCAGAGAAGGCTTTCATGTTGCAATGATGCTGAGCAGGCTTCCTTCATTGGAGGTTTCAGGTTAAGACTGGGAAGAAAGGCGTGGTGATCTACTTCCAAACACCTAGTCCATGAAAACCTTAATTGTGCATGGTTTGTGTGAGTCAGGCAGATTTGACAGCAACTAAGGCGGTGAATGAAGTGGAAGGCTGACAAGCATGCCAGCAGTGTAATTAATAAATGCCATGACAATGAGAAAATGTTAAAGTTGTCAAGGATTTCGTTTTGCTTGGACCCACAATGACTGCCCATGGAGAAAGCAGTCAAGAAATCAAATCAGAAAAAAAAAAATTTAAGGATATATTACACCGACAAATCTTGCAAAAGAGTTTAAGTGTTGTGATGTTCTACCTAGAACTGGCACTCAGGGCAGACAGGGATCATTCAACGAACTGAACGGAGTTCAGCACAGTTGGGAGAGGAGTTTGACCAGAGTTGAAGAATGGTAAGAAATGGGGCCAGAGTATGGGTGTACTTTGTTAGACTAAGAACTTTGAACTCCTGAGAGTTCGCTGCAGAGGATCCCCTACCCCCTGGGTCTCTAAACTAGAAAGGGGGAAAAAAGTGTTCATAAGTCAGTGGAAACCAGAGGATGCAAGAACAGTGACTTTTCTCTGACAGCACAATACATTGTAAAACAAGAAAGAAAAGAATTGACAGCCTTTTCCATTTGACTACTGTAAAATTCTCATTATTAGTTTGCTCACAAAGTCACCTGGGAGTGGCTTATGAGAAGCTGAAATTCCAAAGAGCTGCTCTAGGTAAAGCTGTGAAGTCAGTCCATGTTATCTTCAAAAAGAAACAGTAAGGAAGTACATTGGTCAAATGACTATGCTCAAGAATGACATGCATAAATCAGTATGTCAAATTAATTTGTTGTTTTATTATAATACTAATCCCCGTTCAGGGAAGTCGGGCAAACATGCTCAAAAACCAAGTTTTGCAAGTTTAATCATATGCTCATAAATTTAAAATAAATGCAATATTACTTCCAACAGTTTACTTCCTGTGATAAACTTAGGAGGCCAAAAGCCGTATTAAATAGAACTAGGAAAAAAGAGGCAAAGACAGACATGTCTATGAGTTTATTCTCATTCTTTA